TTTAAATTTTTAAAATTTACAAATGTAAGCCCCACACTCACAATTTCAATGACAGGTCTCACACCCACTTTTTTATCATGGGTTCCACACTATATACATATATATATGTATGTATGTATGTATGTATGTATATTTTAACAAAATTATTTACTAACTAATTTTTTTAAAAAATAAAAAAGGAGAAGAGAAAAGCACTGTTTAAAGAACTGTAGATATACAGTGCTTTGAACGTGCTTTACAATATATATTGATATTGATGATTTTTGAAATTAACTATATTACCTTCACAGACTACATACGCGGCTATGTTATTTATGACTATAATATTTATTGTTTAAAAAAATTTGCCCCAAGTGGCTCCATGCCTTAGATTCGGCACGAGGCCGTTAGTTTAGCGTTCACACTTGACATGTAACCAACCCGTCTCCTATCTTATATCACACTTGAAATGATATAAGAAGCATTGACTATTATTAGTAATTGATCCATCAACGTCAAGGTTCGCCCATTCAAGGTCAGGTGCATTCAATGCATTTTATTTCGCGTGGGGAGAAATACAACGACAATATCCACGGTTTAATCCTATGATATTTTCTTTCAAGCAATCAAGAAAACCCATATCCAATTTTTAACGGACACGTGTGCTGATTAACATAGCGTTCGATTCAATGGAAGAAAAGGGCGAGAAATATGGATATTTTGATATATCTCTTTGATTAGAGCTGGCTGCTTCATGGGCCAACTCGGATATGTTAGGCTTGAAAATAATATAGTTTAAGTTGCCGGTCAAAATAATATTATTTTATTTTATTTATACTGAACTGGTTAAATATGTTATTAATAATAATTTTGGTTATAAGGCACTAGATTGAAAACATTTATTCGCCAGTGATGAAATTTAAATTCTATACTATACATCAAAATTTAAAATCATTTTATTCGTAAACATTAAATTTAAATAATAATTTTATAAAAAGTTCAAGGTAAAAGTGTCTCGTTCATGAACCTCCATGACCTCACGTAATGACATTCTTTAAAAGAAAAATCACAATCAAGATACTATAACAATAATAATTATAAATTTTAAATAAATTTTAATAATAAATCATGATTTTTAGTTGTAATTAAAAATGTGAATAGTTAGTTGAAAAATCTATTAACTATATTTAAGATTATTTTTAACGTCGGCTAAAATTTATGAGAGTAAGTTGAATAAATAAGCCACTTGAAAAATTGAATAATTACGTTTAAAATTATTTATAATATTAGTTATAAATTTATGAGAGTAAGTTATGAATTGTAAACTAATCACTTATAATTTTTTTGCTGTAAATATATAGATAAGTTACTTAAAAATCTATTAAATATACAAGAGATTATTTATAATGTTAGTGAGAATTTAATTGAATTAGTTAAAAATTACAAGTTAATTACTTATAATTCTTTGCCATTACTTAAAAATTTTTAAAAATAATTGAGAATCTTTATAATGTTAGTTGAAAATTTATTAAAATTTACTGTGAATCTCAAGTCAATAAAAAAAAAAAGATGATTTACTGCAAGTATTGACTATAATTTGTAACTGGATTTCAATAATTTAGCATTTGTAGTTTTCAGCAATATTCTTATGGCTGTCTAATTATAATTTTCCCCTGTTCAAAATAATGTTTAGGGATTACGCTGTCAATGAATATATTTATAAAAAAATCTTGCCTTTCTTTTTGGTAAAAATATCTTCCTGAAAAAACTTCAGGGTTCTGCCCAGAGACACGAATCCAAACAAAAAGGATTAACTAAACTACCATTGGGTAACCCAACTACTGGGCAACTAGCCCCGCTCTTGTGTTCGATGTTCAGTTATGTTGTGTAGTTTCGAACGAAATCGGTAGATTCATAGCAAGTCCAGAGCCCAAAATCGTGGGTCATGTCGTGATCTTTCGGAATTGAAAGCTCATTGAAGAGAGTCAGCACCTATCATGTTCTGCTGCAACACATTCATTGGTTCCTCTCCCAAGCTGCACCTTGTCCAACGAGTCAAACCTATCAGACCCTTCTCTGGTTTGCTTTTCATAGTCAAACCCAACCTCTCTTCCCTCACCTTCCGTTTCGGCATTCCCTTGCCCACAGCCCCCACCAAGCTTTCTCGTCGGATTTCGACTCCCCCGTCGCCGGCCACCATGCTGCACGGCAACCCCGTCCTCTCTGACGTATACGCCACCGCTATTTCCACCTGTGTCGCTTTTTCCTTGATCAGGTTATGGCAAGAAACCGCGAAGCGTGGAATTTTCGATCAGGTCTGATTTTTCCCCTCATCTCTCGACCTATAATTCGCGATTAAACTTGTACGTAGGTACTTAGCTGACTGTATAGTCCTTGATACTCCCTTTAAGTAGTTCTGCTTGGGTACTTAGTAGACTGTATAGTTCTTTATGTTCCCTTTTTGAGTAGCTGATTAAAAAGGGAAGATAAAGAACCGAAGTGACCTTTAGTCTGTAGAATTTAGATCTTCGAAATTGTGGATGGATAAATTAGTTAATTAATTAAAACGGTCCCTAAAGACTCGGTAAAATTTCAGAAAATTTAAATCGAAAAAATTCAGAATTTCTCCTGGATTTCATTCCTCGACAAAGATATCAGAAATGGTGGAGGTGGCTCTCATGTTCGTGTCGATGCATAATGTGACACGGGTAAAATCTGTCAAGAAGAAAGTCAATTGCATGGTCGCTATCCAATCAAGGCTAATTCCCCTTATTTCTTAATGCCTATCTTGTTCATATCTGCAGTCTTCTCATCGGTTATAATTTGTGTTTAGAAATTGAATAGGAAACTTGTGCATATAAGCATTGGACTGGCATTCATACTTTGCTGGCCACTATTCAGGTAATTTTATGTATATTGAGCATATTAAAATTTCAAAGCTCCACTTTGCCTTTTCGAATTACCTTTCTTCTACCGTTACAGTTCCTGGAGTCAGGCACCACTTTTTGCCGCTCTTATTCCAGGAGTCAATATAATTCGGATGCTTCTCATTGGACTTGGTATACAGAAAGACGAGGCCACAGTGAAATCAATGAGCAGATTTGGAGATTACAGGTTGTAATGCTGTACGCATTAATGCCAGTGAGACTATAAATATTTAAAACTTGTAATAAGTAGCCTTGTTACCGTAAAATCCATCCAGAAGAATCTCTTGCTTTCAAGTTATCAAGCTGGTTAATTCAGACCTGACAGGAATGGATATAATGACATTTTTGGCCATTTCTTATATCATTTCTCCTGTTATATCAAAAAGAATTAATAGGTTATGATTTTTATTGGCGGCTGAGTTACACTTTTGGCTTGTGAGTTCTCTTTAATCTGTACTTGAAAAGAATGAAAATAATGTTTGTTGATTTGCAATTCCATAGATTGAGTATTGATTTCATGTCTTGATCTATTCATTTCTCCGTTTTTTATCTGTACCAGGGAGCTTCTGAAGGGACCGTTGTATTATGTCTCAACTATTACTTTTGCCTGTGTGATGTACTGGAGAACTTCCCCTTTATCCATTGCTCTAATATGCAATCTGTGTGCAGGAGATGGTACTTTCGCTAGAGCCAATTATATTTTGTGTCCTCATGATTGCATCTTGGCAATGTTTTAGCTGCACTGTGAACTTTTTAAAAAGGAAAAAGAAAGCAATGCAAAGAGGGGGATTTCTTCTTAATATCTGGGAGGAGCAGACCAGACATTCTTCTTCTTCAATTCTATAAAATGACATTGCCTAGCATAATTCTTAATATTTTATTCAGGTATGGCTGACATTGTTGGGAGGCGATTTGGCAGTACGAAGATACCTTACAACAGAAACAAGTCCTTGGCTGGTTCGATTGCAATGGCAGCTTCTGGATTCTTAGCATCTATTGGGTAACTTTAGCAGACATATGTTGCTCTATTTACTTTGTCCTCAACTGAAAAACCTGCTTGATCGGTCCCCATATTGATAGAGGTTTTGACAGGTATATGTACTATTTTTCCTCATTCGGATATATTGAGCAGAGCTGGAGAATGATTCTAGGTTTTCTGATTGTCTCTATCGCCACCACAGTGGTTGAGTCCCTTCCCATTAGCTCGGAGCTTGATGACAACCTCACTGTTCCTCTCACTTCCATATTGGTGGGAAGCATGATCTTCTGATTCATAGCATGCTGTAGTGGTAGAGTTAGATAATCCTAGGCACCAGTCCTCTACATATTTAAACCTAGTTAGATGTCATGTGGTAGTCTCTGCATTATTTAGTAGTTTGTCTTGTCTAGATACAACTGGAACTAGGTTGGTGTTTGTCTGTGATTCCACAATCAGTAATATCATCTGGATAAGGCCATTGCAGCCTACTGTCCCATAGTGATTCGGTTCACCACCCCCGCTTCCTTCACTTTCTGAGTACCAAGACACTTCTGATATTAAAGAAATTGAGAAGCAAAGAGAGACTTCGTTTTTTATATGCTCTAAGTATTACAAGAATGCTTATTTTCCAACATATAAATCTTTCTCAGACTTTTATAAGTATAGTCCTATTTTTTTGAAAAATCATGACGTCTAATATCACTGCCTGCCTTGTGCATCCTCAAAATTTTGAAGTGTTATAAGTATTACAAGTCCTTCTTGCCATATGTTGACACAGTTCTTGCTGTCTTAAACTAGATTACCAAAACTTACTGTTGTTAAAATGAAGAAAAACTAGAGAGTGAAATGTTACCCCTCCCCAAAATTTTTACTTTCAACAGCATTATGCTTCAGGAAGTCTCGACAACTAGTTGATCAGTTGAATCTCTTAGCTCAGGTTTACAAAATTTTACACCAAGTATCACTTTACCTTTTGTTTTCGTGTTAATAATAAATTTTGTCTTATGCTGCTGCGGATTTCGATCAAGAACTTTAAAAGGTAAATGTAAAGAAGATATGTAAACTTCAGAGGTAATAATGCTATTAACAGGATAACATACAATAATTTTAACATGCAAGCATACGAAGAATGCTGAGAATTAATGGATCTATTACCAAGGTAATAGTACTAATACAAGAATAGATTACAGAATACAGAAATTTCTGCAGGCTCAGGATCAACAACTTAACACGAAGGAAAATGTAAATATGATTTGTAGATTGAATCACAAGAATGATGTGTTTGTAACAGTGATAGCTCACATTCCAATGAAATCCAATGAAAGAAAAGAAGGGTCTTTTCACTAACTTTTGGCTAACCCACTTTGAAACCTTATGAACATTGTTGGTTCCAAAGACGCTCTAAAAATGAGCATTGATAATGTGCTTGCATTGCAGGGGCTAAAAGGTAAATATACCATGACGACGTGATATTTTGTGTTGTTGAGTGCCCTAGCGGCACTTGTTCCTTGTTGGGGTTTTTGACACTGACATGCGAGACAAAGTAACGATAACCACAAATTATTGATACAGGTTAAATATAGCCGACAGGGAAAACCTGAAAGCCCTGCAAATCTATTCTAATCTACGGCTCCTGAGTTATCCACCATGAATCTCAATCAGTAGAACCACAGAAGCACTTCCTACTATGGGAACTTTCTGCTAATAACTTCACTGTTAGATATCATCAAACCGGGTGGGGTCTGAGTGAGAATACCATCACCTCTCTGTGTTGAAGGAGTGCTGCATTCTGCTACTGCAACATTAGAATCTTCATCATCACGACGTCCTTCTGCTTCAGAACCTGTGGCAGCAGAAGAAGCAGCACGCTTCAAGCATGGAATCGTGAGGATGAACAGAATGAAGAGGAAGAAGACGGAGACGACAGTGAGCAGCGTGATTAGGCCATGAAGAGCGAAGTGTTTGTCATGAGAGAACTGAATCTCGTCCCCTTGTTGCTGATGCTGAGGACTGAGAGAGGAAGGAGACATAGCAGAGCTGAGAGTAATGGTGGCGCCATTAATTCGGAGCCTTGTTCATATATATGTTGAGTTCTTCAAGTTTGAAACATTGACTTTTCTGGATCGGTCTCTTTTTGCTTCCTAACTTTCCTTTTGCGTGTGACGTCTCCTGTACACAGAACTTTCGCTTAGTTGGCAAGTAAAAGATGAAATGCCTTTTTGTCCATTCTTGCCTTGGTTTAGTTTTTAACCATTTTATCCAAAAAGAAAAAAAATCTTGGGATTCAATAAAATTTAAAGGACATTCCACATGATTAAGATAGTATAAAACATTTATAAAATATATTAATTGAATCATATGTTTTTTTTTTTACCATTAGCTGAATCATATTTCTCTTAATTAATAATATTCCTAAAAGTTTGATAAATGATAGAGTACAATGGCGTTTTGTAATCCATATAACCGACCCCACCTAGTGAGATAAAAGCTTGTTGTTGTTGTTGTAGCTGAATCATACTTAAAATTCAAATCTTTCCTGCAGTCAAATCACATGTTACAATATAATTACTTTTAATAAAAAAGATATATGTGTAATAGAATTCTTATGATTGTTTTGGTTTCTATTTTTATTTTATTTTTAAGTGTACTGATTAAAAAAATTGTTTGATTAAGTGTGTTGGTTTTAATTGTTTTTAAAATAGTTTTCATTTTATTTTTTTATTTTCAAAATACGTAAAATTTGGTTAATAAAAATTACAATTACTTTAACCAATTATTGTCATAAAATATCACTATTAATCACTGGTGGCTGTCATTATTAGTTGATTTTTTAATTCAATTTTTTTAAATTAATATAATTAAACATATTTTCTCTTTATTTCCTTTAAAACAATTTTAAAAACTATATAGCAGTGTAATTTTTAAAAATAAAAAATAGAAACATAAACAAACATATTCTTAACATTTAAGTTTGTCTTAGTTATTAATGCAGTTTCATCAGTTTGTTATATTTAAGTTTGTCTCGATTGTTAATTTGAGTCTTATTATTTAAAGAAAAAGGTAACATTATTATAATTGATTAATATAAATAATGAAATATTGATGATAGCCATATAAATTAATAAAAAATGCAAATATTTAGACAAAAAAGTGTTCTTGCCAACAAAGTACATAGTAGAATGTTATAGCTAATAAAAAAAATATGTGTTTTATAAAAAATATGTAATATGTGAAATTTATCTTTGTTTCATAAACTTCTTTTGATTTTTTTAATGTTTTGTCTCTATATTCTTTATCGAATTCGAAGATAATTTATATATTATTTATTAAAGCTGAGAGGGAGTATCCAATCTAGATCAAACATGTTGTAACCGTTGCGCAGTCGCTTTAGCTGGAACGGAAGAGGACGAGGCTTGGCATCCCCATTTTGTTTTTTCTACTGTCTCATTTTGTCGTTTCCGAGTCTTGCAATATCTTTTTTATCGTTACATATAAAGATAATTAATTTTAAAAAATTAATTTAAAAATAGTTTCTATTATATGTAAAACAAAGTCAAAGAATTGTGTATATTTTTAAGTGGAATTTTCAAAACAAGGAAAATAAATGAATTCATTTAAAATACATTAGATTTTTTTTTACTGACATTATAAAATTTTTACTGTAACTTGCTTTGTTTATTTTGCATGAATCAAGTGATTAAGTTTGTGTGTGCTTTTAATTATTTTTTAAATAGAGAAAAATTGATTTATATTCGATAAATTATGATTTGACCTACTAACAAGAGCTAAATCAAACAAAGAAAGGGACTCAAATATCTCTCAAGTAAGAGTTTGGATTTCAATTTCCTTGAATGGAAAGAAAATCATGATATAATGTTGCTTAAATTTAAATTAATTAATATTATTGAATACTAAATGGTTATCACACTCGCAATTTACAGGTGCACCCTTCCAACTGTTACACAATGTTTAGCATCCATGAAAACTCGGTGGCTTTTTGTGTCTCGACAATACTTGCCAACTGCCTAATTTACATCCATGGATTTCACCCCTATTTTTAACCCAAAAATATATATACTAAAGATTGAGTTGTTTGATTTCATCTGATTAACTCACTGTTTTAATGAGTTAATTGAGCTAAATTAGAGTAAGATTTTTATGAGTGATCAGTGTCTGCATTTGGTGCTCATCGTAATGATGAGCACCGCGTGCTCATCAAGGTCAAGAACAATCCTGGCCCTTCATTTCAACCTTATTTAATCCTTGCCATTCATTTAAATTAATTTTTAAATATTTTTAATGTTATATTTATTAAAATAAAAAATATAAAAATTTTAATATTAAATATGGACTATTTAAAATACATTTAAATGGTTAATTTGTAAAATTTATAAATTTTTAATATTAAATTAAGTCATCTAAATTATATCTAAACTGTACAGAGTCTATCTATATAATCAAATTGTAAAAGTATAATTTTTTAATATTAATTAGACTGTTAGATTAAATCTTTACTGACTAAATTGATAATAAATAGATATATTAAATTTTATTTTTTTTTTTTACTTTTTTATATTAATAAATGAAATATTAAAAATTTTAAAAAATATAATTTAAATAAACGACAAGGATTAAACAAGACTGAAATAGAAGGCCAGGATTTCTCCTAGCCTGATGAACACGCGGTGCTCATCACAAACGATGAGCATCGAATGTAATTTCAAATTATCATAATTCTAATGACTCAAAAATAGAAATCCTGTTCCTAATTTTTAATGGGTGCCAAGGTGCATCCTTTAAAGCGAATTTGAAGCAATGGGTGCATTAAAATCTATTTGGGGCAGAAAGTAGAATCATACCAGATTGGAATGTGGAATTCTCATACCAGATTGGAATGTGGAATTCTCTCTTAATTGTTCGCAATTTGGCAAAGACACAACCTTTGAATCTTTGAAGGTAAGATTGGAATGGGCGCTTCTATGAAGTTAAACATGATGAAACAAAAAACTTCATTGGAAAGCGTGAAACTGATAGGATGTACTATGTTTTCAACAAAAATAGTTTGGTGTGTTTCTCTTTTGACTGGGTTCTATTAATGTAGACAAAGCTTTTTCTATTGTATTAAATGGGAGAGGTTGTGGATGGGTAATCCAAAATAACTCTGGATTGTAACTCGTTGGATTTATGCATGGAGATAAGATATAAATAACTTGAAGATTGAGTTTTGGGCTATTCTATTTGGTCTGAAAAAGCTTGGGACTTAGGATATTGAAGAATAATAGTGGAGAGTAATTCTCTTGAGATAGTGCGTTTGATCCGATAGAACTATAGCCCTCTCCATCAACATACCAAATTTATTAAAGAAATCCATCGAACTTTGTCGAGAGATTAGAATATCACTATTTGGACATATAAGTGTGTGTTTGGATAGGGAAAAAAATTAATTTTCCCCTCCCCTCCCAAAATCAATTTTTCCAGTAGATTAGTCAAACGGTTAGAAAAAGATGAAAATTGATTCTGAGCCTATATGCACATTTTTCCCGTCGTAAGCTACTTGATCACTTTCTGATAAAAGTTTGTCAAAAATATTGAGATAAATTATAAAGACAGGCCCAAAAAAAATTACAAAGAAAGCACATAATTAATAATAAAAATAAAATAAACTCTCTTCTTTTTCCTTTTTTTTTCTTAATAAAATTTAAACTTTGTATAATTTAAAAAATTAATAGTGATATTTAAAATTAAATTATATAGTAAGTTATATAGCTAAAATTAAAAAATTAATTAAATTATCAAATATCTTCAATTCTGTGAAAATCAATTTTAGAAAAACAGTATCTAAACAGATTACGTTATAACATAATTAATTATGATTAAAATCTACCATTTAATTAATTATTTTCATAATCTATTATACCCAACTGAAATATAAACGGATCCTAAATCGGGAAGGAGATACAATAGCTGATCATTTTGCAAAGTTCGCATTGAGTAACTGGCTTGGGTTTCATAATATTTTTACTCCTTATGATAGGTTTAGACTTAATGCTTGTTGATTTTAATAATCTCAATTAGCCTTACGCTGGCTGTGCCGTTTGGCATCAAAAAAAGAAAAATGGAATCCTCTTCCTAGTATTAATGCTTAGTAGCGCATACGTTGAAACATGTGGTACCAATTGTGTTTTTTTTTGGACGGAAACAAAGATGCAGTGCTATTTAAGATACATCAATATAATGAAGGTGATTGGTTATAATATCTTCTCTCTCATAGTCAATATATTTTTGGTATAATATAGTTATTCTCTCTCATTGGCCCATTAATTTTTGTATAATCAATTTAATTTTATTCTAATGTTAATATTACTATTTCTTGGTTGATGTGATTGAATGTTTTTTCTCATTGGTTAGCATAATTCAATTTATTTTTTTATTTATTTTTAAATGATTTTATCTTTCACTGGATGGGAGCATTAAATTAAAAAATTAATAATTAATTAATTAAATCTAAATCTTTGTAGGATGAAGGTGATTGGTCACAAATCTCTTATCTCCAATTAGTAGATATTACTTTGGTATAATATTAATTATCCTCTCCAATTGATCTAGTAATTTTTATATGATCAATTTAATTTTAGTCTAACATTAATATAAATATTATATTCATGTTGACGTGATTAAATATTTTTTTTTTTAATTGATTGATAGAATTTAATTTATTTTTTTACTTTTTATTGGATGAGAGTATTAAATTCTATTTCAAATTTTTCCTAAGTCATCTATCATGAGAGAATTAACTATCTTGTTTTCCATGCTCTTGAGTCTCATTAGAGAGTTTTTGTTCCCAATACAAAAATATTTTTGTGTTTCTCAATTTCATATGTCCTAATCGATGATTAATCAGCTATTCTCTTGAATGAATTTGTTGTCGATGGCGGAGAGTTGGTTAGTCAGGTTGGAGAAGTTTTGCGCCTCTTTCCGTCAATATATTCTACAAATCTTGTAGAATGAAAGTGGTTGATCACAATCTCTTCTCTCTCGTTGATCAACTACTTTGGTATAATATGAATTATTCTCTCCTATTGATTCATTAATTTTTGTATAATTAATTTAATTTTAGTCTAATATTAATATTATTATTTTCATTAGTTGATGCGATTGAATGT